GAGATCTAAAGAAGAATTCTCAGAGCGCGCCGTTTCCACATTCACTGATTGGCTTACTCGTATAACGGTTACTTTATCTCGCAGAAAATATCGTCTCATTCGAAATTAACGAAGAATACGTTGCAAACTTATGCGTGAAACTTATTTTAAAGCTTCGGCGCGCGTAATGTCTCAAGACCTCAGCGTTTCGTTTCTGTCGACTTTTAGTACAGACATTCGTTTAACGGGTGTTTTATCTCAAGACGAGCGCGTCATGTAATTAATGGGAGGAAGAAGCGGTCTCTTCTCGGAATTGCCAAATGTGCTTTTACACAATATCCCAGTTGCGGGTTTAATTAACCAAGTTACAGCACATTTAACGCGCAGTTTCTGCACCTATTAGCATTTCGTGATGATCTATTTATTTTGCCGTAAAACACGTAATTTACCGGTACCAGATAAAGAAAAATTCTTCAAAGCTTCCGAACAAATTTCAAGCCATAAATTGATGATCTCCTGATTATTGATCAGAATGCACAATTTCTTTATAATGAGATTAAATAGTATAATTACGAAAAATAACGTAAGAAAGATTTTAAATTACATTATCACAAATCCTCGTTAGTTTCAGTAAAATTTTAACACTCAATATATTTGTTTCATCATTTATCTTTAGAAGTACATAGTGCACTCCAGAATCTTCTTCCGCGTAATCTCGCCTATCGACGAGATATATACCACTTGACTCGAAAACCTCTCGATATAACGAAACATTAAGAGAATATCTCTCTGTTACGCCTTCCGGTCTGTCTTCCGCGCGCGCGTCTCGGTGTTTATCGAAATAAAAAAAAAACGCATATCCCTTCAATGAAAATGATAAGCTGGCAAACCCGAGCAATAACCGGCCGCGTCTTCCTACCAGTTGAGAATTGCAGGCCGATGCGTTCAACCGGCTTCAAGATAATCTGCTCCTTTCCCCCTTGCCGGTCCCCTCGAACCTGTCTCCCCTTTACTTCCCTCACTCCTTCATCCCTCCCCCCCCTTCTTGTATTTCTGGTCTACTGTTCTCTCTTTCGCTTCCTCACTAGCTTCTCCTCTCGCAGTCGGATGCGTGTACACTTTTACGCGGCTCTTTTACGGCACTTAGTCGCGGCTCGTTCTGCGCGCGGCAGAGGAGAGAAAAAGCCCTCCTCCAACCAGCCATTCATCCCGCGACGTCTGCAAGTGCGAGAATTATCGCGGTCCCGTTGGTGTCAGTGATCGGGGGTGCGATCTCGAGTTGGCGACAAGTGCAGCGAACGATCTGGCATTGACAAGCCGTTAAACTTTAAGTACCGACCACCTCGCGGGTGTGATTAAATACATCATCTGTTTTAGATCTTGCCCTACTTTATTCAATTAAATCCGGTATTTCGATCAATCCACGAGTGTCCGACCACACGTTGCTCACACATATACGAATGCACGTTTATTCGTATTATAAAATTTGCGCGAAATAATGAATTGCTTCATATCGTGCGAAACGATTGCGAAGAACATGATTTGAAAACAGTGAACAGTGCTATAATTACAGGGGTGAAAATAACGAATGTAAATCCTTGTTTACAGACAAAAAAGAGATTGTTTATAAACAAGCGATCTATCTATAAGCAATTTTTTAAAATAATTAGTTCAAAGCTAATTATAAACAGTTTTTTTTCGCCGAGTAATGTATTTACTGTAATTTATTTTCGTCTCATTAATTCGTACAGTAATTTAATCAAATCAAATGCTTATAAAAATATGATTGATTTGAAAATGATGGATACATAAAATTGATTGATTCGCGACTGTGACTTAATCGATATGTAATTAGAAATACTATGATAATATCGAGAAAGGTGCGCGTATTTCGATTTATTTACCGGAGATTTTATCGAAGCCGATATACAGATAAAAACAAACAGTGAAATATAGAAAAAAATCAAGATACTTGCAATGACGTGGAAAGAGCACAATACGAAGGAGCCGCGAAATTAATTTTTGTTGCAGAGAACGTACAAAACGCGCACGTTTACAGATGCCGTTTAACTTTAATTATCCTCAAACGTTAATTTATTCCCAAAATGTTAGAAAATTGACTCAAAGATGAACTTAGAGAGTAAACTACAACATGACGAAATAGAATTAATACATTATGATAACAGATGCTATAGTAAGATTACTATAGCAGATACTAGAATTAAAAACACGTTGTCCCCGCTATAAGTAACAATATTTGTTTTTTCCCTTATCGAAGCTGATCTTAGATTTTCCATCATGTTCGATAACGTATCTAAATGCGCGGTCGGCGGCGGCGGCGGCTCGCCTTTGGTTAAGGCCAAGAGCAGCCCAAATGTGTCGAAAGCGTCACTTTCGTCGGTCAAAAAGCAGAACCAATCAAACCGGACGACGAATCCCACGATTGCTCCGGTCAAGCCGACCCGCTCTGGAAAATTACCGATAACCTCGAGGATATCTATCAAGATGACGAATGACACGATTAACTCGCCGTGTCGTGGCTCTAACAATTCGGATTCCTCGAAGTTCCGACTTACTTCGCCTTCGAAACCCACGAAACGATCCCCGAGCGAGGCCCGACCGGATACGGCAAAAACCGTCTCATCTCCTGCGCGCGGTAACGACAAGAAGAAGGTTTGCAAGTCGGTCAGCTCGTCTCCCTCGTGCACGATATTAGAAGACAGGGCATTGCTGAAGAAGGGTCTCGCTTATACGCCCGACAAGATGCCGACGAAGCCCGAGGCGTTGCAACGAAAGGGCACCCTGGATCGTTCGGTCAGTTTGAACTCCGTGTCCGTGGACAGTCAGACGAACTTCGCGATATCTCCACGATGGATTCCAATCCCGTTGGAAAGGGGATCAGTGGAAAAGGGAAAGAAGGCCGAATTGTCGCGAAAGAGTCCAACGCTCATGAACAGATCCACCAGCCTTTGGAGCGTTCAGACGCCGAAGGTGGATTACAATCAATGCAGAAAGTCTTACGGTGCGCCCGCGAGGCTAAGTTCGGTTTCCAGGCCGAGCAAGATACCGCTTCCGGCGGCACGAGCTATAGGTCTCGGCCGATCTCTCGCCGATCTATCGCAAGTAGATCGCGTCGAAGAGCCGGTCGGCCAGATGATTAGCTTCGAGCTCGATCTCGACGCCGCGACGTCGGACGAGCGTATCTACGAGAATTGTCGCGAGACCCTCGAGCGCGCTTCGAAGCTGAGCGCATCGAGGATCTCGACGTCGACAAGTAACCTGGAAGAGAGAGCCGCGCGATTAATGGCGCAGCTAGAGAACGATTTGGAGCCTAAGGAGGCGGTCGTGTCTCTGGACGTCGCTCCTCCTCGTAGAAAGGAAATTGTCAACGAGGATCGAGAGGCCCTGCACGACAGCAAAACTAATATTGTTGTAGAGAAGTGTAACGTTGACGACGAGAGTAAGGATAGCCCGAGAGTTGAGGAAAAATCGAAGAGGAGAAAGATGACGATGGATATTTTTAAAGATAACACAAAGACGGAAGAAGACGCGAAGGAAAGGGAACACGTCCCTGTAAAAGAATACACTGACCGGATCAAGAATTGTGAGAAGCCGGAAGAAGTTGCCGAGAAGTCGAGAAGAAACAAGGAGACCTCCATTCAGGAGCTGAGGCGTAACTGGGAGAGGCAGAGCAAAGGTAATCAGGACACTGACACGAAGACGATTTACGTCGCGAATTCTGGGAAAATCGTCAATCTCTCGAAGGCGATTCGAGCCGAAAATGACGTGGTCGATGACGCGCAGGGGGCGAAGAGGAAGCAATGCGTCAGTAAGAAGGCCAACGATATCGAGCACCTGGTGAACTTTTTCAATTGCAAGAACGCCGAAGTCTCGAAGGAATCTTCGCGGGAGGCTCTGATCAAGCCGAGACCCGCGAACGTTCCTGTCATCGAAACGCCCGCCTTGAAGAAGAACGAATCCAAGGGCGCGAATGAATACAGCGGCTACACGTCGGATGGGAACTGCTCGGAAGATAGCGGCCATATAAGCAATGAGAACGAGGTGGAATGGAAGGAAAACTTGGAGAATCAAAGTCAGAAGGAGACAAACGATTTCAAGGGACAGCAGTACTTCGATAGGATCGATCGAGACGACAACGCGAAGCTTTTCGACTCGACGATCGTTCGCAGACTGGCCGAGCCGGAAAAGAAGAATGTCGTCGTTAATCGAGCGAGTCGTTTGACATCTTGCGACGACAACAGCGTTGACTGTTGTCAAATCGATGACAAATGCTCGGAAAGTGAACGACAGGTCCGTCTTAATTGATTATGTCTCGCACGATCGTTAACTTTAAATATCGATAATTAAAAAATCGCTCGATAATTAAAAGGTTGGATAATTAGAACGCGTCGGGTGCTGTGCGTGTCGAGTTTATCATTTAAGATAATCATAGTAAGAGCTCCGGCACAACTGCATAAGTTACCATTACAATTAGGTTTTCCCCTTCTTCAATTAGTATAATACTTTAATTTTATAGAAAGTGACTATCGCTATCTGTATTTTCGAACGATTATCTCTGGAAGAATGCCAATTATTTAATTAACTCGTAACGATGCGCGTAACATATATAAAACTGAAAGTGGCTTTGTCAACGTAACTATTAATATAACCGCTATATTCGTTGCATAGTCTTATGTAAAACCTTATATCCTCTATAATGCAATCGAGATATGCACGGCACACGATGCGTCTTTACGCTCCAGAAGTCATATGTGTTCATTCTTCATTACCATACGAGATGAAAGCAGCTAAAAACTATGCCATGCATATTTTAACATTTACCACCGCCCATGAACCTCGGGTTCAATGCGCAGTTTTTTTCTTATCCGTTTGTACGCAAATAGGCAAAGTACGCATATAATTAAAACGAACCTAGCGATAAAATACCGGTTAGTCTAGACGTTAGTTAATATCAATCGATGAATATTAATTGACGTATCTTCGTTTTCTCTTGTTCGCAGATATTCTTCAGATCGGGCACCCTGGAACGATTGGAAGCTCAGAGAGACGAGAAGCTCACAGGCCACATCATTCTGCTGCAGGCGAGATGCAGAGGCTATTTAGCGCGGCGCAAACTCAACACTTTGAAAGTAGGTCGCTCATTCCAAATTGAAACACGCCGCATTGACCGTGTTGAAATTTAGTGAAGGAAAGTTTTTAGTCGCGCGCGTATGAAATTGCAAACAAACACTTTCCCCTCGTCTTACACGATTAATGCAGAAATCGCGGTACTCGTTTAAAAATTGCAATCTCATTCCTATTAATGGCTCTAAACTTACAAAGGCATTTGCGGCGCGTTTAAGGAGATCTCCGAGGTTTATCTCGCTAATGAAAGATAGAGCGCGCGGTGGATGTCGTTCACGCCGTTCGCGCTTTCCTTCGTAATCATTTACGACAGCCTGTATAACGACAATCCGGATCGAATTGTAAATTAAATTATCTTACAGCTGCAAGATCTTGCAGTGCGATGCATCCAAAGGAACGTGAGGAAGCTAATGTCCGTGCGAGAATGGCCTTGGTGGAGACTGTACGTGAAAGTTGCGCCCTTGTTGAACGTCCATCGCACCGAAGATCAGCTAAAGGCGCGAACGGTGAGTGTGAGAGAGAAAGAGAATATTTTTCACATAATACATATACGTTCTCCATATAATCGATCTTAAATACATTCATTCTCTCTGTTTCAATAGGAAGAGCTCGAGCTTCTCAGGGCAAAAGTGGAACGCTTGGAACAGGAGCGCAATCATCTGAAGCATGACAATGACAAGCTCGAGGCGAAGGTAAGTTAACGGCGGCGAGATGATTCAACGCGAATATTCATTTTTAATTGTGCAATGTCTTTTTTCTCGCGAAAAAGGCTAGAATACCTTTTTAAGTGGCTTTAAACGTCCGTTACTTGAACCGGGGGGCCCGTGCTGCAAATTGCGCCTCTCTGTTCTGCCATCTACCACAACGATTTCGCGTGTGACCGCATGATGAACCTAATAGAGGCAGTCTCGAAGGATGCATTAAGCTCAAACTGCCCGATTAGGCATTCGCGGCACGCACGCCGCGCAATTGGGTTAAGCATGCCAGACGGCTCGTGTCGAGCGTGCGCAACTATTATCGTGACTAGACTTGTGCGTTACATTACCATTCTCATCCGCGGCTAATGCATAAAAACGCTGGCAATCAACACATGTTCATAAGAAGAACAGTTACTCGAGAAAATATCGTTTTATGCCTTCTCGTCGTATTAGTAACTTAATAAATGATTTTATTTGTTGTTAAACGATGAGATATTTTTTTTTCTATCTTTTGCATTAGTACATTTGGAATCTCCTCAAACTATTTTACGGCGCGGCAATTTTTCTTTCCGTCTCTCTTCATCCGTTTTATTTTTATGAATGCAGAGAGATACAAATTCCTAGATTTTCTGTCGAAATGCTAGATCTACTTCGATCTCCTACTTCTCGATATTTTTCTCACAAAATCTACGAAGAACCTGGCGAATAGCCAGAATCACCGTCTTACACGTTTCTCTCCGTCTTCATCTGCCTCACGGGTCCTCTCTTTCTCACCGTCTTCCCCTTAGAATAACTCGGAGGTAACTGCCTCCTCCACCAGACGCCTCCGGCGGTTCCGACCCAGGAAGAGGCAGTTGCATCGCGACTCCTTGCCGACGCGGGCGTCCTCGCCTCGCGTTTCGGCGTTACGCAATTCGTCATAGTAATGTAACGGAGTCTCCGGCCGTTAGAGCCAGCACGAATAAAGCTGCGAAAGGAAGCCGATTGAAATGCCAACCGCGACGACATCAACTTCGCAAGTTTAAATCATCCATCTCTCGCTCCCATGGATTGGATTAATCGTACGCCGAGCTGATATTCTTGACCCGTTTTTAACATCCCTGCGTCAACGTACTTCTCAAGATGCCCTCCGTGCCGACGAGGTACCCGGGTATTCCTTCTTCCTCTCACAATACTCGAAATCTGAATCGTGCATTGGCATCCACCAGTTCTAACGAAACGCCCGAAGGGAACAGCTCGATGAGCAATGGCTTGCCGAGCTTATCCAGCTCCACGAAAAGCCTGGCGAAAAGACCGCCCCTGCCGCCAAATTGCAACCATCAGAAGAGACCGTCTAGTAGAGGACACATTGTCAGTAGTACGAATCGCCCGATACGGAGTCCTTCGCCGTGCAGCGTCTCATCCAGCGTTTCCTATCGCGCGAAATCCGTATCCGCCGGAACGAGATCGCCGTCCGTTCTCTCCTCGCGAAGCCGATTGTCTCAGCTGGAATCGCCGACCTTCTCGACCCCGCCGCGGAGAACGTATCCTCGCGAGAGCACGCGTTCGCCGTCGATAGAGGATGTTCTGGTCAAGGAACAGGCGCCGGTCGTTTTCGATGCGAGTCTCAACTTCGTTCTGGGCTGCGAACGGCAGAGGGTGAAGCAATCCTTCAAGCCCACCGCGTCCCACTTAGATTCGTCCACCGCCTCGTCGTATTTGACATCGAAGATCTCGCAGTTTTTGAAACGTACCGATCACATCATGGACGAGTGGCGAAGCCTTGGTCACCGGGACGAGATAGACGACGAGGCGATAAGCTTACCATACGCGCGGAATAGATCACGCGGCGTGATCGGAAGGAGTCAGAGCGCCACGAATATCATGATACGCGGCTATCAGTATTATAGCAGATCGAACAGCGTAGCGAAGAGTCCTTCGAGGCGCTCCTTGTCCCGCGCTTCGGAGGACCGCACCTCGGATGGGATGCAGGAGGTAATGTAACGAATAGAGTTGCGAGAAACGAGATGGCTTTATATTTTATCTTATTTCAACTTTAGAAATATCTATACAACTAAAATTACTAAAAGATGCAGAATGTTGAAAGTAGAAGTACGAGGCGGGAATAATGTTGACCCATATGATTCACATACATAACGTGTCGTATTCGATTTTCTTATGCAATATGTGTTTTTCTGTTCCAGCTGAGCGAGATGACCGCGGACTTCGCGGAGGAGCATTCTACGTCGACGCTGGCGGCGGAGAGGATCGACGCCGAGACTTCGGAGCGGCTGCGGCTCGAGCGTGAGTTGCAGGATGTCACTGAGACTAACAAGAATCTTCAGCAGACGACCGAACGGTTGGAGATGGAACTGCTCTACGCAAGGGCTGCCGATTTGAACGGGATCGCTTCCGATGGCGAGGAAGGCGAGGACGGCGGTGTTTACCGGCAACGGTATGAGCACGCTATCCGGGAACTCGAATTCACAAAGAGGAAAATGGCGCAGCAGCACGAGGACGATCTGGAGCAACTGGTCGGACTAAAGAAACAGCTAGAGAAGAAGGTACGTCACGTTGTTGCTATTATCACGACGAGTATCGTCTTCATCATATCGTCTTCTTGTTTCGTCGAACAGTTGGCCGATGCTTACGAAGAAGTGGAGGAGCAACGACAAGTCGTCGGACAGTGGAAGCGACGAGTGCAGAAACTGAACGGCGAGATGCACGATATCAGATTGCTGTTGGAGGAACAGACTGCTAGGAACAACCTCCTCGAGAAGAAGCAGCGCAAGTGAGTCTCGTAGTAATAAGTCAACGAAATTACGAGACTGCGAGCGAATTGGGCGCTCTGTCACGTTTTGAGATATACTCGCGCATTTAATCCCACGGCTAATGGTCGGCGAGAGTCGGTATCGAATGGTAGCTCGCTCTATTCTCATTTCACTTGCGGCAACAAGTGTCTCTGGCACTTCGCCAGGCCGGTGACGCCACCCAATATACGTTGCCAGCGTTCGGCGACGCGTCCGGTGTGTCTGTAAATCACGATTGACCGTTTGCGAAGATAGCTTCCTGTTAATCTAAATGCAGCACGCGCTCGCTGGCGATGGCGGTTAAAGCCGAACTCGTTACAACAACGAGATTGGATTTGTTCCCGAAATCTCTCCCCTGTCAGATCGTTTCCAATAATTGATTTACGTTACATTCAAACATAAATTAATTTGTTAATTCCAGTGGAACAGTGTATATTATAATTAGGAAAAAACATTTTCCTTGCAGAAATATTATTAAAAAGTATCTTTAAATATACATACGATGTATTTATCTATTTTTAAAGATACACGAAATTATATATTAAATTAGTTGTGTGCAAAGTTTAACAATATAAAAATTGTTACATTATAAAATCGTAAACTAAATTTAAAAAAAAAACATTTTTACTTATGCATTTAGGTTCGATTCGGAAACTCAGAATCTGATGAACGACCTTAGACAAGAGAAAGCACAACGTGAAAGATTAGCGAGGGAAAAGGAGATTGCGATCGCGGAAAAATTCACAGTGGAACAGAATCTGAGCGTGAGTACATTTTTTCCTCTCGGTTTCTCAGCTTAAGAAAGTTGAGATGCAATATTGTATCTGAGTAATATTATTCTAACAGGACGCGAGATTAGAAATTGAGCTGAAGGAGGAAAGACTTCGCACATTAACTCAAGAATTAGAGGAGCTCACTTTCGGCGGTAAAACGGAGGAGGAAGTTGTGCAACTTAAGAAAGCAAAGCACGAGTTGGAGAAACGCGCGAAGGATCAGGAGGAAGAGTTGGATGATCTGGCCGGCCAAGTGCAGCTGCTCGAACAGGCGAAACTCAGGCTGGAGATGAGCATCGAGCAGCAGCGCAAAGAGATGCGTAAGGAAATGCAGCAACGCGACGAGGAGCTGGAGGACGTGCGCGGGAACGCGCACAAGAAGGTCAAAGCTCTCGAGTTGCAGTTGGAGAACGAACATGAGGAAAGGACGATTCTTTTAAGGGAGAAGCACGAGTTGGAGCGCCGTTTAGTGGCTCTGGAGGAACAAGACCGAGCCGATCGCGTGGCGGAAGCTGAGACCATGCAAAGGTGATTATCAAAATTCTACTTTTTTTTTCTTTTCCATTCTGCTTCGCAAGTTACTCTAAGAAAAATTCTCATCCTCCTATCTGTGTAATAAGAATGAAAAATAATTAAATAATTCATTATGTGCGTATAATTAAACAGACTGAAGAGAGACTTGAAGAGAACAAAGGCGTTACTCAGAGATGCGCAAACAATGCTCGAAAGATCGAAAGGCGATTCGACGGGTAAAGCCGCGCTACGCCAGTTGAAAAATCAGTTGGAAGACGCGGAGTGCGCTCGGGCAGTAGCGATCAAAGCGAAACAGGCGTTGGAACAGGAGCTGAACGAAACACAAGCAAGTCTGGAAGAGGCTATGCGACATCGTTCCGAGGCGGAGGAGCGAGCCAATGCGGCCAATCGGGAACGTTCAGAACTGCTGTCTCAATTAGAGGAAAATGAGGAGGAGCTTGCTGAGGTATGTTATGATCAATTTTCACTGATTGCGATTTCTGATTAAAGTGCGCAACGGTTTTTGCAAAGTTGCAAACTTGATAGTGGCCGTTATTTTTTTAAATAAAAATTACACAGAGAATAAAGTAATTTCAAGTGGATTTTATTCCCTAATTGAAGGTCTTAAAGAAGTATCGAGCTGCAGTGCAACAAGTCTCCGCCGAGCAAGGCCAATTGCAAGAGGCGCAAGTGCAAATCGCCGCGCTCGAAGCGGAAAAGTCGTCGCTGAAGGACCAACTGGCGGAACTAACTCAGCGATTAGAATCGGTGGAACAACTCGGCGATCCAACAGCAAACAGTCTTGCCACGAGACGTTTGGAGTTCCGTGCCAAGGAGCTCGAAAGCAAGCTCGAATTGGAACAAACTACGAGAGCGCGTTTAGAGGTACATATATTATAATTATAAAATATATTTTATTTTATTAAAACTCTACATTAAACTTATATCAATCCAAACTTCAATTAAATATTAAATTAAAAAATATCATCCCCTTTAAATTAATTTTTTTTTCAAAATCTGTGAACGTTAAATGAAGTGAAGTGATTGAACGATAGTCAATAGTTTGCCTCCTCTCTATTTGTTTACACAGACGCAAATAGCACGGTTGAAGGAAAGCGTCGACAAGTTACAAACTGAATCAGCCTTACTCAGAACGAAGGAGCAGACCGCTCAGGACGCGGCGAGACGATTGCAACGATCCTTGCGCGATGCGCGCGACGAGGCTAGCTCGGCGATATCGCGGGAGCAGGAGGCCGTACGTGCTCGTCGTGACATAGAGAAATCCTTGGAAGCCGCGGAGGCTGAGACCAAGGTGGCTAGAGACGATCTCAGACTGGCGCTTCAAAGGATCGACGATTTACAGAGTGCTATTCAAGGGGAACTTGACTTGGATTGCAGTGAGGAAGCCACTAGCGAAAACAGTGACAGGTAATGTATGCAATATACGTAAAAATATAAGATAATAATAATTTGAAATTTATTTTCAAAACGTTGAGACGTCCCATCTGTGAAAGAATCATTTTGTTGAAAGAACCGTTCGATTTGGTTATAATAGAAGGAAATTTTTCTTTTTTTTAGTGATTGATCCGAGCCATCATCGGACCTCGAGTCCGATCAAAACGACGAGGGCACGACTGAATCGGGATCAATAAATCAGATCGTAGACGGACTCCCGCGCATTCGAGACATCGAATAGAACGTGAACCCTATTAGCCGCCCGTATTTAACGTATGACCGAACATGAAAGTGATAGACTAGATAGACTAGAATCACAGTCCGGTGAGACGAAAGACTGGCGAAAATAACGAAGGGCGGTAACGGCACGCGGTCACGATAGATTTCAATTTTGTGCTACTTGAATAACGCGCTGCTGAAAGAGTTGGCGTTCTTTCTTCACCGTCGTAGGGAATAAAGTCATTTCGAGGGCGAATTAAGCTAGCGTAGGCGCTGGTGGTTCGACGAAATCAAACTTACAAAGTAATTGGTCACTAAGCTAAGTTAATTGCGTGGCCACTCTCTCTTTCTACGAGCGATAAACTTTTTTAGGTGCTAACTATGTATAATTCCCTGAAAATCTCGATGTCGTGGCTAATATTTGCACGCCGCGTTTGGTCGTGCGTCCGCGGTGCTATTATCATATCCGTTTTTGTTTTTATTTTTTTTTTTTTTGTAACGTCGATGACAAAGACATCGACCCTTTCCAGTCTTCCACAGAAATTCGAGCCATTTCTTCGCAAGCCGCGAATGTAAATGTCGACGAGAATTGCGCGTATTGCGCTATCGAACAAAAAAATCGAAATGTAGCATTTTCGATGCGAGTAGGCGCGCCGAAAGTTTCACGTCTTTTCAAATAGAAAAGTATAAACGGGAATTTCGCAACGAGTCATGCGAAATGATCAATTGAAACTTTACTCTCGGTTCTAATACCGACGCCACTAGATTTGAATCTTAGGTATTCGTACTTTTGTTCGACAGCACATACATGCCGCGCGTATATTTTCTCGCGGAATTAGCTCGAGAACAATCTTCTTACATAGGAAAGGATACATTGCGCTTTTTATCCTTGCGATCCACTGCCTTCAGGCGCGATTACGTTTCATATTTGTATAAAAAAAAAGGGAATGATAGAAAAGGAAAGTACGATATAGGAGGAAAACGCGTGCCACGACTCGAATTGGGGCTTTGGTTTCGCGTGTAAGGATCCTCGTGTAACTTATTGCTTTGTAAAATGCAGATCTCCTATTTAATTACTCGAGAGTGTTTCTTACACCGCATCCTCTACCCTCTCCAAACCTCCCTCGTCCTGAAGTTTAATCGGCGGAGCGACGGACGTGGAAAGTTCACGGGAAAAAGTCAAAGAGGAAGAAACAGAGATGAGAGATGAGATAGCCGGCACGAGTTGGTTATCAAATTAACCATCACACACATAAACTCGAGCCACGCGCGTACACGCGATCACTGCCCTCCCGTCCTCTTCGACTTTCTTCTTTGAACCGTCAGACATTGATTTCCCGCGGGATAGCCTTGCTCGCCAAAGTTCCAAAGTAAAGTTAAGCTCTTTTCCTTCTGTTCACCGCACTCCGTTCCCTCTCAACTCTCACCCCATCGCGCGCTCTGTTTCTTCATCACTTCCGTAGCCAGACTCTCTCTCAGTTAGATGAATAAAGTGAAGGATGGCAATTAAATTGCGACTAAGTTGCTGTCGCCTTCGTGACAACAGCGAGGACAAGCGAGGATGGATGTGCATTTGGATTGTGAAATCATTCTCTCCGCGAGGTAAGTCCCTCCCAAATCTATTATGAGCCGCGAAAATAATTAGAATATACGATGGCGCCGCGTCGCGAATAAATTTCACGCAAACAAAATTCGCAGAAAGACACGCGAATTATTTAAAATATTATGATACTTTTATTACAAGGAAAGAACCATTTTGTTGAAAGGTCTAAAAATTTTGCTATAAACAGATTTGAAAATAATTTTTTGTTGAATCATCAAAATAATTTGTTGGAATGTTAAAATTGATAAGTATTGCTATAAAACGTTTTGATATTCTAGCAATCATTTTGACTTTCACACAAAATTATTTTGATTATTGAACAAAAATTATTTTCAGATCTGGATTTAGCAAAATTGTTCTTTCCGTAGATATAATTCTTCGATACATATACACGCGCACGGGATATATACAGATTGTCTATTCAATTGGTGCAGTTCGAGCGACAATCAACAGTGTAATTTTATCTACCATCGTAACTTGATCATTTCATGCGGTGTCGATTGACGTCGCGCGTAAAACTTTTATCTTTTATTTCACTGACATGCGCTGCCAGTAAAGTCAGATTAATAACGTACAACAGCTCTGACGAGCGACCCAATAATTATTCACACGTATATGTGTTTTTTATACAATTTTCTTTCAACGGTTGAAAGAAAAATTTTGTTTTTTTTCAAAAACCATTCGGATTATTTTGATGAAATTTGAAACATACACAAAGCTTTATCAAAATAACCCGAGTAATTTTCGAAATGTTTGGAAAAAAGCGAAATTTTTCCTTTAACTTTGACACTCTATATCTTTGAAGTTAAGCCGTTTCGGACACATAAAGTTTTCATCTTTTAAAAAGGAATCATTCTTTAAAATTTTGTACCTTACTTAGCGTCCACCTTGTATAGAATGAGTAAAAATTCAGCCCCGACATAGCCCTTCATTAGACATTACGTTGCGCACGTCTTCCATTCGCGAGTCGCTATATGCCCCAATTAATTACCACGCCATACGTGGAGGTAGAGGGGAGGCATAAGCATGTGCGTCGAGAACCACGTAATTGTCGCTATTAGCGAGTCAGGGAAAAACGTAAAAACAAAGTTAGTAGAGTTTGTCACGAGGAAAATGGGGAAAAAGAGGAAAATGACCACAATACGCAGTTTTCGTTTTTATTATATCATATTGTCGAGTGTGATGGAATATTTCCAAATTTTTTGCAGGAATTTCATGAATCTCTTACGTAAGTAAGTTTTAATTTTGAAATGTCATTTTTATACGAAATCGCTAAAGCAAGCATTAAACATATCATAAGGTGACCTTTCATAAAAACTTATCACTCATTCGAAAAAAATTACTGATAAGCAAAATCGCGTGTTTTTAGTTTTCTTGCGTCATCCATATAAAGATCGTTTAAAAAATGATGCAAGGAATAATTTTCAAGAGCGCAGCATAAATCCGGAACGACAAATTGAAGTGGGCTGAACAGATCGATTAAGCTGGCCTTAACTAACTGGCTAATTTATTGTTACCCATTTTACAATTGATTTGTACCTATTCATGCGCTATAATTCGTATCATAGCCATTGATCGCTACTTAATCCGCTATACAGAAAGCACGAGCTGCACGAGTTCGTGTGAGTTTAATCGTAACATTTAACAGTCTAGTCTATCTAGCGATAGTCTCTGTCAATTCTAGTAATAAATCAGTCGTATGTACAAGTTATCACTGCGTTATTATCGCTGAAAGGCTTACTACGAAGTTGTAACCAGTTCGCTCGATGATGACTGGCTTACCAAATCAAAATTTCACACATCTCCACTAACATAAAAACCGTCTTCGTAGCGATTAACGCCTTTAATTAACTTTTCATTTTATTGAAATCTCAATATTTCTCTTACGATTAATACACAGTATTATCAGTTGCATGATTCGTATATGCAAAAACGAATTCTCGTATTACAAAAAGAACAATAAACAACAAATAAAACATAATAAACAATACAGGCAATATTCTGTTACAGAAATAATACAAGCAATATTCTATTTCATTTGGAGAGTTGCGTGTACAACTGAGAAAATATTTGCGCTTTCATTTGTGCTCTGTCTTTGTAAATAAACCGAACTTTATATGGCGCCATTAAAAAGGAACCAACGTGACGCATTTTTTTTTTAAAGAAATCGCAAATATTCTCAATGAGAACTTCACGCGTCAACGGCTTCTCATAAAGCTTCATCAGCAATTCGTTTTAATTCGACATTAAATAATGAGCTAAATATAAAGCACATTAAATAAAAATAAGCTGCTAAAAGTAAGAGTAACTGATAACGAAATAGCTATACGAACATATGCAAATTCATATAATTTAAGAGTAGTAAATGGAACAGTAAAAATATGGAATGTTAATATATATATAAGAGGTCTTCTACGTAGTCAGGAAAGGCTGGCACTTATTAACTCTCGCCGAGTAATTCGCGAAAATTTACAAGAACATACATCATGGAGAATGTATGTTGAGTACACTACGCGAGAATAAACTCTCTCTCTTTTTCTCATCTGACATTTTACACCCTCGAAACTCGGTAAAAATTTATAACAAACTAGCGCCGTTATGCAGTTTACGAAAACAGCAGATAATGCCACTAAAATATTCATTATTCTAAGTGAAATATGTTTTTAAATGAAGAATTTATAATTTTACGACACGCGGCGGAGTATCCATACATAATTTAATCGTATATACTTTCAGTGAGCGCAACAATTATGATTCGCGTGACACGGTGTCGATACGAATCGGGGAGATTACCGCGGGCCGTGTCTTATGTACGGCAAGCGTGTTACATACGCGTTACATAGCGCCTCATGAATTTTTCATTCGCGAACACGTAGCCGTCCGCAGGCCCGTGAAACGTCGAAAGTCATTGCTCTTGTCGGGAGATCAATAAGAGGGTGAAAAATCGCGCGTCTCGAAAAGATTAATGTCTTACATAATCCCGCATCGGCGCTGATTTATTCCGCATAATACGACGTGTAGCGCACTCGTTACGGCGGCACTATAGCAGCGGCCGCAAAAATCGAACGTGACTCACCTGAAACCCGACTGAGAGGCGGCAAGATTCATACCAATGCGAATTTAATCAAATCGGCTTCTGTACATTTTGCGAAGGGTACCGTAAATCCTTTCCCACAAAAATCTTCCCCGATGCTTATTTTTTTCCGATCCCGACGAAATCCTATCGCAAAAAATCTGTCAACTGTCACGCAAAAAAAAAGCCTAATGAACGTATCCCTTTCTTCACTCCTAATATCCTCTATCCCTTTTGATGTGAAAAAAAAGCGCTTTAATGGATGTCTGACTGCTTCGGATGGATAAATGGATTTATCAGTGGGACTGAGATCGAAAAAAAATGGATTAAAGGAACGCAGGGGATTGAAACGTCGATATTTCATCGAATTCGTTATACAAGCTTTGGGTGTCATCGTGTATCTCGACATAGTGCTTTATACACTCGATACGCAGGACAATATATATATGTATGGAAGAATATACAAAGCGCGATAGCATGCAAGCTACGCAGATGAAATAAATAAAAATAATATTTCAATAAGCTACGCAGACATTTAGAGCATTTCGAACGAATAGTCTGTTCGCAAAGTCTCGATTAATCTTCTTTTTTTATCGTATAAATCGTTATAATCGAATTACAACTGTTCAGTCACTATGAAGAATCGGTTTTCACCGATTTTGCTACACATTTTTTTTTTAATGAATCATAGGGATATAAAAGAATTTCTAGATTTTAATTTTGTTACCTATCGAAAATGTTACCACGTTACACCTTGTTAAACGCCCACCGCGGAATAACGAAGCCGGATGTAATGTTAACGAGCGGACAGGCAAATAGGCGCGCGTTTTTTGGCTCGAAGCGCCAGAGAAAAGTCAAAAGAGGCAGATAGATATTTTCGCCAGGCTCGTTTCGCCGAGCAAATGGCGTGCTCGCTACTTTAAATTTTAATCGCCCCGAGCGCGGCGGGCACATTCATGTCTATAAAGGCGACATAATGAGCGCGCGCGGACTTCCGAGCTCTGGGCGACGCCGATTAACTGAGGATTACTTTAATTAACTTTACGCTCGCGACGTAACGACGCGGAGCGCGCGGCTTGGAGCCAGAGCCGAGAGCTGCGCACAACGCCCGAGAGCGGAGCTCGTGCGATTCTTCACCGAGACGTGAATCGCACCGCGTTATACATTCGAAAACCTTCGCTTTGCGCAACCGACGCGCGACGGTAGTAACCAGCTGTTGAACAGAAATGGTTAAGATAATGACGATTTACGTGATTACAAAGAACACAGAATACTAAAGCAATTTGTCGCGAAATGCATTAAGTCGGTAAGAGACTTGCCATTACTTTATTCGAGAGAGTGGAATAAATTTATTTAGTATGAATTTCTCTCTCTCTCTCTCTCTCCCTCTCTCTCTCTCTCTCTTTCTCTCCCTGTCAAGAGACTCATAAGCGATTATGATGTTACGCGGAATTACTCGTCACTTGAAGATATTAAAAAAAATTAATCGAGGGATCGCTAGAAGATAGCAATAAAAACACATAAATATTTTTATGTTATAATTTAGAGCCAGTTCAGTTCCAGTCTGGATTTATTTTTAGTGGATCATCAAGATCCAAAAAACCTAAGTAGAAAATCCAATTTATTATCGAAATATCATATCTTGGCAAATAGAAACAAAATTAAAAACACGGTTCGTAGTTGTTTATAAATCGGTTGAGAAATTCTTGCGAAATTGCCATTATCAAGATATTCTTATCTCATTAATGACAGTGTCGAAATCATTCTAAATCGACGAAAAGTTCTGTTTTGGAACAGCCAGTTTGAACAGCAAGATGAAAAGCGATTTTCAGTAATTAGAAAGATAACATTCATAAATTAATTATGCATTCACGATGACGGTTTTATGCGAGTAATATAAAATGACATTTGTTTCATTGTCGCAATATAACGAGCATGAAAAGCAGCATGATAATAATCTCGCTGACAATATCGCACATGAAATAGCTAATAATAAAATATATTGAATAACTACATTTCAGAGATTGCTAGAAATAAATATTAAATACTTAATATAGATATACAATATTTGTAACAGCCTATTTAATGACTTCAATTTATATAGCTTCACGTAAATTTCAATTTGAATTGACGCGATATTCTGTTAAAACATTCGGACAATTCAATATATTTTGTTTACAAATATAAATTTCTATTACATTGGAATTACTCTTGTATATGTCAATTAAAACCAAAGCTCGTGTAGAAATTAATCATATGGAACAAGCGCGACGTGACGTTTATCGCTCGTTAATAATACATCAGGCTTGATCCGTCAGTATTCTTATGATTAATTAAGTTGACACGCATGTTGAACGACAGTGAATCTTAGCAATTAGAACGCGGAATAAACGGCTTCCACATATAATCAGAATTTCTATCGGTACACAGTTTTCCGTTGCAAAAAAATAACCTGATTAATTTAATAGTGAAACTGCTCGTGCAAATGATACAATCAGTATCACGGCATTATCAAACATATAAGCTTGTTAGAACAAAGTTTCAAAGTAAATTTGCTTTTAATGATAAATGTGGAAGTAATGACGTGCAATGAAATCCTCTTGATAACCGTATGACCGTATTGTTAAGGAATTACGTGTCTTGCATCTAAAAAATATACGTCAGTGCACCTTTTGATTGCGGCAATGAAAGATCGGTTTACAAATGTGTCACGACGGAATAAATTCTCTAAATCACTAGGAAACTTCTGCAAAGCCACAGCTTTGAAACGTCAGATTATCCCAGATCGCGCGCGTATTCCAAGAGAACCGAAACTATCCGCTCTGAAACGCAATCAGCTTAACTCCGAAACGCAATAAATCCCTTTGACGCATCGCGTGCTTGTTGTTCCCGTTACTGAATCGCCGAAAGCGCGCGATTAAGACCCCGGATCGATCGATTCCCTTTTTCGCCGGTGGAAGCGAAAAGGTTGACGTAAAAGCGTACCCTTCGAGGGCCATCCTTCACCAATTCGATAAAAAAAAAAAAAGCGAAGATAAAATTCCTATGGCCCACATGTTTCTCTATACTCGACGCTAATGGGTTTCGACGATGGCGAACAGAACTCGGATAAATCGAGTCGTTCATGGAGGCCGATTGAGCGGTTCAACTCGATGCTTGACATTTTCTCGCGACAATTAACAACTGTATCGTCTGTCATCGCGGTTTGTTTGAGAACGCGCGTATACATCGCATACGCGCGAGACGTGAGATAAGCCGCGGTGAATCTTCGTATGGGTTCGTACGGACAAAAATACCGCGGTGCGCGCTGCCGAGATAATGGAGAATATCATGCAGGAGATAAGAAAACAAGAGAGGCACTAGGATCTCCTCTCCGTGGACCACGAAGCGCATCACCATAGTAGGAACGACGAACGACCGCCTGTTGCTCGTTACCAGTCAGCGAAAGAAGACGCAGCGGGCCTTCAATCATTATTTCCCAGGCGTAGTGGTACTTAATGTGTACCAGTTTATAATTAACGACAGTCGGATTAAGGCCAATTGGACGCGAAGACGGTCGTGAGTCGTTTGTAGCCATGGCGCTGGAGCTGATTATAAAGTAACGGATATATTAGATCGGGATTGATTGAACCACATCGATAAGACGCGGCTGACTCTGCGTCCAACGCGGTTTCGATTCCCAGAAGTTACCAGTGTTTAGCTAGTCGCGGTCGATGGAAGTGCTAAGCGAATAGCCGTTGAAAATTACAGTTGACAACTAGTCGCTTAATTGCGACACCTTGGTGTGTGTGTCGTTAAGTAGATACGGAAATAAGAAAACACATCAATGAGATATTAAAATAAAAATTAAACTAATTATTTTTCGGACTGTCGAAGTTAAATATTTCGTGTGATCGCGATGAGCACGCAGGCGATAATAACCTTCGAGCGGTAATATTTCTTTGAAATAAACTTTAGAGATATATATGAGTATATATGAAACAAGGACGCTTCTTGTAAAACACAATGAAGTAATATTGTTGTTGTATGATATCTGCCGATATTTGTTTAGACTGTGAACTGAAGTGAAAAAAATAACAAAAACATCCGTGCCGACTCACATTGGCTTTATTTCGATAGCTTTTGAAAAATAAGAGAGAGAGAGAGAGAGAGAGAGAATTGTAATAAGTAAATGTTAACAGCTATAAGCCGCGCGTCGCCTGAATAGCGACTACGAGTGTTTTGGGAAAACTCAGTGAGCACCAGTCAGAAAGGAGCGACACTGCCGATCACATTCCCACCGTATGTGTTCCAACCGTATTGTTACCAACTGAAAGTATCGATACCCGTGTGACCTAAAATTAAGGGTATTCAATAAAGCTCGGGGAAACTACTTGTTGGATTCGTCGTTGAAGGCTGAAGCTTCGGAAACGCCAGAAGAAATAGGGCACCCGTTCCATTTTCGTCTCACATGGCTACGACCACAAATGTAAGTGGCACAGTTCCGTTCGCGGCGTCGTAGCTGCAATGCGCCGCTACGCCGTTTTTCTTTCGTTATCGCGTAAACTATATATGGATGAAATCGAACGCGCTGCCGCGTAACACAATGCTTAAATAATGAATTAACGTACATTGTTAGTTTTATAATTGTATGCGCGGCCACGCTTATGTTAAATTAACGAGACCTTTGGTAACAGTTAGTGTATTTTTACCGCACTAAAATATTCTATTGAATGCTTTTAATTCAATTTCTATATAATATGTATGTTATAGAGTACAATTTTCTTTTTCATCGCATATCTCGATTTATCCTCGATTATTTTTGCTACATAAATTTCATCATTATGTATGAATTGCTTAAAACGTAACAATTATATTTATCATAAAAATCATTTTTTAACATTATATTAGTCAATTTGCAATAATTAAATAATTAGTGCGATAATCGATGCTGATGACAATGAAATCGTCGATCAATTCTTTATATTGATTTCTGTACTGATTCGGTATTTCTAATTCATTCAAAAAAGGATTATTCACGTTAATTGCTTCTTGCATCATCAATTAATATTAATTTTTTCACGATCAAAATGCCATTGGCGTGAGACCGTCAACCGATGACTCCATCGTCTCGATGATTATAAATATCGCAGTTGGTAGAAGGAGGGATCGCGTGAACGCGGAACGAGAGAGAGTGACGTAAAAAAAAGAAATAAGAAAAAAAAGGAAGAGACACCGGGAAGAAGAGCAATCATGTGTGTGTACGCGAGCGCGAAAGCAGTCGCCGAGTATCGGCGCGTGCGCGTTTCCTCGGTGTGTTCCGGTTCCACGAACGTGATCGAAATACTAACGAAATCGTGAAAGTGGTCATCTCCGAGAACAGCGGCTGGTCAATCGTTGCGGCGCGTTGTTTTTATAATTAGATCGCATTTGCGTTTTAAAGGGGAGTCGGGGGCAGAGGAGGCATGACAGGAGCAACGGATCCGCTGGTGAGTATCGATCTCTCGTCCTGCTTTCACGTCGAGCTCGCGTTACTTTTATCGTATAATACTCTCGAGTGTGTTTCACGGCCAGATAAAAATCCAGTTTTTAAGTGAGATTGTACGTAGGCGAATGCACGCACTCACTCACTTACTCACACACGCATGCACGCACATACGCGGCGGAAATGGTATCGTCTCATTTTCACGGAAGCGCGCACGCTCGCGTGCGCACGAGTGCGCACGTGGTCTGCGATATCGGATGTCTACGGACGATTCTTTGGAATCTTTTCTATCTTTTTTTCATTTTTCGACGTAGGGATCGCAATTCGCGAGCAAAACTGATGTCTGAATTGTAAGCATGCCTTGTGATAAAAAAAGATGTACAGATTCACGTAAAGTGGAAAAATATGAAAATGGATGGAACGCACAAGATTCTTATTTTAATCTCTTAATATGCATCTTGCAAAATATAATCTTTACAAAGTAGCTCTTAATAAATTAAATTTATCAAAGCTGTAGATTACTAATGGCAAAGTATTGTGTTTCAAACGAGAGAGAGACAGAGAGAGAGAGAGAGAGAGAGAGAGAGAGAATTCATGTAAATTAAGACATTCGAGTCCCATTCGTATCCCACCCATAAAAGGATTAAAAGAACCTCTCCAAATATGATCGAGCTGATTGATTGCACCACGTTCAACGGATATTCGGGACTTAATCGGGAACGTTCCAACATTGGAGGACGGGGCATTGACCGCCACCAGCGCCTTGTGCAATGTGTCTCATGTGCTCCATTTTGTTACACAGAGATGCACGCGTCGTTCGCGCACGTTAGCGGTATACCCGCGAAAATAAACTCGGGATAATAAATCTACACCGTTCCATCGATTCCGAGGCGAGCATGGGTGTTCCGTTCAATTTGGTTTTTAAACATTTTGTGAGCAGGTTTGCGCGGTGGGTCGGAAAAGTCGCGAAAAGGTGCGCGAACACGTTGGTGAGTATTACGAGACCAAGATACATTCGCCGTTGCTCGCACGTTTGCTCGGAGTCCAGCCGTTCTCGCGTGCGCCGAGCTATCGCGATAAGTTCAATGTAGTTGCCGTTGATGAGATCCAGCTAGGTTATGTCGTGGGCAAACACGCAATCATGAAGAGCGATGTATCGTTCTTTGAAAATGGTAGTGCGCATGTGCAGTCGATCGCGGGGGCTTATCTTGGCGCCAAGCTCAATTGGAGAGCAGTAAACGTCGATTACACGAGACTGGCCGTGCTTGGCGAATATTTCCTTGATGTATTACGTTTCTCATTTGTAAAATCTAAACCCTTAGTAAAATCCTTTCTCTAACCCAACTTTATATTGTTAGCGAATCCGAGGATGGAGGCAATTCTTTCGCAAGACGGGGGTGTCACAGGGGGTGTATACAGGGTGTTCCTCGAATTAGTCGCCACGATTTTTGAGATAAACTTCTAATAACCAACATGTTTCTGACAAAAGTTATCTTCTGATATAGAATTATTTACGTAAGAGAAATTTCAGAATTGCTCTTTTTTTTAGCAAAAAGTCAAAGTAATGTTATTTTATAAATAGAACTATATATTTTTCTTTCCATATTCTTGTAGTACATATAAAAAGACGAATTTATCGATATAGATATCGATAATAGATTCGTGAATTACGTTGTAAATATTAATTGAATTATCTTGAAATTGAATAATAAAATGGTATACATAATGCTATATCGATGAATTCGTATTTTTATGGTCTACTGCAAGAATATGGAGAGAAAAATACGTGATGTCATTTAAAAAAAATATATAATTTGACTTCAATACATTCAACATAATTTTTTGTTCAAAAATGAGCAATTTTGTAATTTCTCTTACGCAAATAATTCTTTATTAGAAACCAAACATTTGTTGGAAACATTTTGTAGTCAGTCCACTGGAAGTTTTTCAAAAACCGTAGCGATCGATTCGAGAAACACCCTGTATAGTTCGCGTATTATCGAATCATGGAATTTTCGAATTCTTCAAGAGAAGAATTTTCATTTGATTCCTTACATGCCACATTAATCACTATCACCTGTTGCTCCGCACTTCAGAAAAGACTACTGCATTCTGTCACGCGCAAAATGTACGCACAAGCATCAAGATGCACCGTCTACTTCGATTCGACAACGACATTCAAGCAGAAACATTAGTAATTCAATTCGGTGATAGAAACACAATGATTAATTCTTAATCGAGCGTTAGAAATATCGTTAGAATTGTCGGAATATTTACAACTAAGAAAGTTTAAAATAATTGTGAAACTAACTTTTCAACGAACAGAAGAAAGGTAAAATATTTATGTCGCTTCAGTGCAGCTATAAACGTCGCGTAGCAACTAAGAAAACTGTCGTTTTTTTTCCTCTAAAAAAATCAATATCAATTTCTGTCGTAGATCGACGTGCTAAAGGAGGCGGGACCAAGGAGGGAAACTGTGCCGCAAGACTCGTCTTCCCAGGACAAGCGCCACGACGAACAAACGACGAGGCGCGAACGGACACAATGGAGGCAATGGCTGGCGTGCATATCAGGTTTGCGTCATATTTCATGAAATATATCGCGCTCTTAAAGGTGACACGAAAATCAATCGTTCAATCAACCGCCATTAAACTTCCATCAATCTCCATTTTGCAGCGACTCTATCCATGGTAGCGGTCGGCACCGTCTACGGATGGACCACCACGTCGCTCTCGCGGCTCACATCTGGCGCCGGCGACGTCCCAATGAAGATAACCGACGACGAGGGTTCGTGGATTGTGTCGCTGACGGTGATCGGCTCAATGATCGGCCCGTTCCTCGGTGCCAGTCTCGCCGACAGATACGGTCGTAAAAAGTGCCTTCTGTTCGCCAGCGGTTTCTTCATCGTCGGCTGGACAGTCGTCTTCTTCGCCCAGACCGTCGTCGCCCTCTACATCTCTAGGGTGATTCTCGGCATTGGGGTGGGCATCTCGTACACCACCAATCCGATGTACGTGTCGGAGGTCGCCGACGTCGAGATCAGAGGCGCCCTCGGCACTCTGATCGCCGTGAACGTGTTCACCGGTTCTCTACTGACGTGCAGTATCGGTCCGTGGGTATCGTATCAAGTTCTGACGGCCGTACTCCTCGCGGTGCCCATAATTTTCGTGATATGCTTCTCCTGGTTCCCCGAGACTCCCGCCTTCCTCGCGACCAGGGGTCGCAGAGCGGAAGCCACCAGGTCCCTGGCATTCTTCAAAGGGATCCGCGATCGCGACGAGGCGAGGAGAGAACTCGAATACACTTTACGTAATGTTTTTATCGAAGATGTTTGCGACAACACTCCAGTGACCGGTCCCGGGGCACGAACGGAGCCGGTTAAGCGCAGCTGGATGGCCAAGTTAAAGCTGATGCTGTTGCCTAGCAACGCCCGAGCTCTCGGCATCATACTCAGTCTAATTGCGACGCAGCAACTTAGCGGAAACTTTAGCACTATACAGTATCTTGAAGTGCTCTTCAAGAAAGCGGCGATCGGCATAGATTCCAACGTGGCCACGATACTCGTGCTCGCGGTCGGACTCATCTCATGCGGATTATCAACCGCGACGGTCGAAGGCGCGGGCAGACGTCCGCTACTGATCGTCTCCACCCTGGGTTCCTCCGTTACTTTGGCGATTCTTGCAATATATCTCATGATGGACGCGAGGGGCGTCGACGTGTCAGCGGCAAATCTTCTTCCGGTGATCGATGTAATCGTCTTCCAGGTGGTCTTCCAGATCGGTTTGGGTACTCTACCAAACGCGCTGATCGGCGAATTGTTCCCCACTGAGGTGAAGGCGTTCGCCGGTGCGATCGTCATCCTTTTCGACGGCATGCTTGGCTTCATCGTGTCGAAATTGTATCAGGTAATCGGCGACTGGTTGGGCGCCGATACCGTCTACTACTTCTTCGCGGCGTCGTGCTTACTGGCGTTCGTGATGGTGATATTCACCGTGCCTGAGACCAAAGGTCGGACGTTCCGTGAGATTCAGGAACTTCTGAAAAGTGGCGAGAAGAAGACGGTGGCCGCCGAATCGCAGGAGCGAAGTAACATGGCATGACAAAGAGAAACGTGTCGCACCTCTTACTGGACACGGTGCGAACTCATTTACGAGATAATGTCATCGAACGTTCTTTTTAAAATGACGGACTTTGAAACGGCGATTACTTACTCTCAACTGTACATAAAACATATGTTTGCGAGCTTTTCAAGCAACAAAGAACGGATCGCAAAGGTGAAATCGCCTTTGCCCCGCGGTTTGTATTTACCACGGTTTTTCTCATACCTGCCATCGGGAAATAAAGTGGCTTTTATTAATACCGTTTTTACCGCGTATAAATTCATCCCGATATAGATTTCATTCGTGTTCCTTCAACTGTAAGTATTTTTCGCCTGCAGTATTCCCAAGATTATATTGTCGTCGTAAAATTCACCATTTATATTTATTAAAACTTCGCTATAAAAACTGTCTTTATATAGCGCTTTTATCATTTCCCTTTTTTTCGCTCCGGATGTTAGGCGGATCGGATATTTAACGGGACGTCAAGACTTCACGAGTTTCTCGTGCATACAAGATAAAATATTTAAGTAAGGAAAAACTATGTGAGAGAGAAATGGAAATAAAAAGAACTGGCAAGTAAAAATTTCTAGTAAACACGCCGCATCTCTTATACAGCGAGCGTAAAAATCATAGGCGACGGTTAAACATTGAGATGAAGAGAGAGGGGGAGAGAAAAAGACGCTTGAAAAATCGCGAGAATGTTCCGCAATAAAGAAGAAAAAGAAAATGTAATGGGAAACCTCCAGAGTTCCGGTATTGTCGAGAGAGAGAGGCGACTTTAACGTTTCCATAACCGACTGACTAAACATACATTTTCGCACATGTTTTGTATATTGTTTTATATTAAATATTCTGTTAAATGTAATTTATTATAAATACAATTTTCATGATATTCTTTCAAGCAAAGCAATCAGTAAAGCAATCATCTATATCTGCGCCATTACGGTAAGAAAATATACGTTTATACAGCCGCAGAACTCATTTGTAAACGTGACGCAATCCTCGCGCGATGCTTTTTCCCCGATAAGTTTAAGTCAAAGTCGTAAAAATTTCAATTTACGAAACATCCGGTGTATAAGGAATTCGCACGCAACCTAGCCTCTTGCGCGACAGTGCGGCAGACAAAATATAAAAACAGTAATTTTTTGTCAACCGAGCGCGTATTCTAAAATCTAAATCTAAAACAACGAATTGGCAGCTATCAGATTTCAATCGTGTTTTCTGTGTAAACAAACATATACGCACGCACCATCTTTTTGCATGTAGAATGAAAAACAAATGTTTTATTGTAAATATGTCAGAATGTTGTTCGCAACAAATACAAACATTCCTTAAATCGACTTTGAAAAACTCTTTTTGCATGTACATACAAAACAAAATGAAAAAATTGACAAGCAATTGGAAAGAAAATTAACACAAAATTAAAGCACGAGAGGAGAGTGCTTCGTTGCCTCAAAGAGAAATGAATAACGAAGTCAATAAACGAATAACGATATTTTTTAAAGAACAAGAGAACCTTACGTCGCGTGATGTCCATTTTGAAATTTCATTTCCTCTTTTCTGCGTCAATGAAGCCACACAAGCGGCATGGTTGACGACAGACATTTCAATTTATTTCTCTCGTATTATACGGCGCTGCTGCCGAGCATTATTTCGAGGTCGCGGTATGTCCATTTATTCATTAAACAGAAAATTGGAAAAGGACCGCGTTATAAAAGTAATTATATGAGCGAAAAATTTGTAATAAGGTATCCGCGCAATTAACGTGCATGCCGAGAGACAAGGACGAACTGGTAGGATGTATTTGCCTGACTCGGCAAATGGAGAGAATAATTTCTCCCCCGTTGTTCGCCAAGAAGAAAAGCGTTGACAAAAGAATCATAAATGTAGCGAGGGAATACGGAATCGTTTGATAGAGAGCAGGAAACTCTCCCGTACACTTTCCGTATCGCGAGAGCAGAGCTCCCGTATATATCGAAATAACGCAATTGCTGCAGCGCCAGTGCTCTTACGATGATGGCATGGCATGCAGCGGATGGTTTCATCTTAAAACGGTCCGCATCTATAAGATCGATTCAATGTGCTGTTGGAATGGCGCATTATTATAGATTTCAATTTCTGTAATATCTCTCGGACGTAGACGGGTCGACCAGATAAGTTCGCGATCTTTTTTCGCAGATAATGAATCTCTCCCGATATCAAAGGGTCGAGCAGAAAAAAAATGAAAGACGAGTCACAGGATAGATTACTGCAGATCGCCGAGCGCGCATTTTTAATTTATTAAAAATCGCATTTTGTACGCCAGCTGTCAGAATTTCACGACACCACGATTCCTCCCTTTTGTTCACAAAGAATTATGACTTTCCGATCCTTCCTCTCGACCGTTCACCGCGAGAATGCAATCTTTCGGTACGCGAAAGATCGCAGTCGCGTATCAAAGATTATTCAAAGGAAACAATGTTGCTCCCGCGGAAACAATGAAGGTCTCGCGGAGCCTAGCCCCAAAACGTTTTTCCGCGGCAACTTTCGTCGACTTCGGAACAATTTACGCGCTCTCGATCGCGAGTCGTTGCGGCAAGGGATTAAAGTGAATTAAACGCTCTGGCCGAATGTCGCTAAAACTTGCAAACGCCTCCGGCTACGATCGCGCCGACCGCCAGACTTTTTCTATCCTCTCTCCCTCCCCTCCCCCCTCTGCCGGTGCTATCCCTTTTCGCTGAATCGCTTTGTTCGAGCCGTCAAAATGGCGAACCCGGTGGAGAGTTGTAGTTTTATTCTGCAGCCGGCGCGGCGGCGTCGCGCCGCGATGGCGGCGATTGCCGAACGAGGAGAATACGGCGACACGCTGCGAACGAGCTTGTAAAACGATCGGGATTTTCTCCGCGCGGACCCGCGATGTAACCCGCAACGGCACGGTCCACGCTGTTTTTGAATTTATGCCCGCCGATTTTTTTTCCGTAAACAATGCCGCGCGCGGTTGAATATCCGACTAGAACTATGAAATATGTATGATATTACGAAGGGGGGAAAAAAATAAATGCGCAAGTGTGCGATGGTGGAATTAGAGATATGTGAGCGCGAAAATAACTCAAGTTACCATCGCCAATCAACAGCGGCGCGCGATAACTTTATATTCGTTCAAATTAATTTTTTTCATTCCCGATCAGCCGTAGCGCGGCTATTACATTAATGATAAACGAATGAAAGAATCAAATTCTCTCGAGTATCTGCTCGTTAAACGATTAAAAATTATAGCCACAGGAAGTTATCTACGATCTTTGATTACGCTACAATCCTAAACCACTTTTAGCACTCATTATCGATATCGCCGAAATGTCTCCCCTATACAACTGCTTTCAGACATGGTTTATGTCTCGGAGCGATCTAGAAATTCCAGACGCCGGTTATTGCGACGCCATATGACGCGTGCACTAGGTAAAGCTTCATAAAAGTAAATTGCGGATATTTCCCGTTCTGGCCGACTAATTCTATTGTCGAATGCTACCCCCTCCCCCCCCCCTTCGCTCCTGTAATTCAATTTATCCGCGCCACTCGAGGTATCGATGCGTTATCAAATAAGAAAGGAAAAATAAAATCCGCCGTCGGAGTCTCGTTTTACTTCGTATCCGGGCTCGATTCAGCGAAAGTTCATTGTCCTCCCTCTGCTGTTGCATCGGATTCTCTTGATACGCAAGCTACGAAAAGTAAACGAAAGGAAAACTCTTAGACGCTCGCGGAAGCACGTTTTTTTTTTTGCTGAACTGCGTCGCAAAGTGTAGTCCTCCGCGACAACATTCGCCCGCTCCTCATTATATTTCTCTTCGTTGAACAACGACGAGAAATCTTCCTTCCAACAGAACGCATTTCTCTCGTGCTCTGCTCCTTTGTGGCATTCGTGAGCTTCGTTAAGAGAAGTTGCATTAAAAACTCACGACATTAAGACACGCGCAAGAATCACATTAAATTATTGCTAGAAATAAAGAAAGGAGAAGACGTCGGAATATAGCCGCAAAGCTATAAAAGAATGTCATAAATATCAAACTCAGCTCTTTACGAAAAGATGTGTCGGAAATAGGTATAAGCCATGGATATTGACGCAGCACGCAGGACTGCAGAAAATGGGGTGGTATGCATGCAAGCAAACAGCCACATAGATAGAATATGGGTTTCCAGCGATTTTACACTGCAAGTAGCTATGTATGCTCGCGTCAAATTTCACAGCTCCGTCGCGAGCAGCCGTCGATATGCCAAAATTACAAATTGGTGACGTTAATGTGACGCCGCGTCGCAATCTAAATTTAAAAATCTTGCATGAGAACTGTCGAAGGAACGACTGTATTACACATGTTTCTTCTTCTTCAACATTCAATGACAACAAAGACAGAATGATGCTCGTGTCAATTTGTGTCGCTAAAAGGAAGGCGCCCTTTGTATTTTTTTTTTTTTAATAATTAACGACGAGTTAAGAAGAACGAAGAGTAATTTTTAATTAACGCAACGAGCTAATAAAGAAAGCTTTTGCTAAAAGAATTCGATGAACTCAATAAATCACGTGTGTCGAGGAGATAATTAAATTTTATTCGATTGATATATATTTTATCTCCGACGATTTGTTCGAATTGTTCGCTTGTCTCTTAGACCATTTGTAACTGTATAGAGTTCCGCTTCGTTTCTTGCCGTCCCCGCCTTTTTCAGCCACTTGTGCACTTCCACTCTTACGTCTCCTATTGCCACTCATACAGGAGATACGCCTCATGTATGTACGTACCAACTGATTGTATCGACGAATGTCTATTCGATCCTTAGAATGCACGCGGGGAAAACGAAAACCGATACACATCGATAACAGGATACATCGTCGCGAACAAGCAGTGCTCCGTTGTCCAAACAACGACGCCATGAGTCTTGCCGACCGTAATTTCCGGTATACTCTCTCGTCGTTTTCCTGTCTATCTTTGACAGTGCCGCAACATTTATATTTTCACTGTTTTGACGGTAAAACGTGGATTTATTCGCAAATGGTACTTGTGGTATGGCATATTATTCAAGCCAACGCTGCATCTAGCAATCTTTGCTTAAATTAATTTGCCATCTCTTTCCCAATTGCTTTCTATTATTTTTAGGATCTTAGGACGTAGGAGAGAACACTCTTGAAATTATTTCTTAAAATGACTCTCGACCATTTATATTAATGAAAAATATCGCCGTGCGCCGTTCCATGTTATTCAAAGCGTTTTAACTTGCCCCTTTAAACTTTCCATTATTTCTTCGTTAGCCTCACTCTCTGCCAATAGATTTTTGTAATGACCTCCCGTTATGCGAGCTGCAATATCGATGCAACTTCATATCGAAGCAATATCGGCTTTTAGATTCCCGTCTACCTAGACCAAGAAGACACGCTCGTTTCTCGACACGCGAAGCAATTCGAGCAGCGTCTTTATGAGAAGCGTCGGGACGTATATCGGCGCGATATTCCCAGCCTGAAATCAAGGCTACAATAAAGAATGCAGAAATAGAAAATGATAGTTGACGTAATCTATAAGGTAAAGGTAAATGAAAGAGATTTAACTCTAAGTATGTGTACTTATATTCGATCCTGATTTTTTTACACATGTATAATGGCTGCGTAATTCAGCAGAAAAAAAGAGCTATGCAATTATTATTTTTAACAGATTGTTTTTAATATGGTTTATACATTTAGTGTGCAGTGAAGAATTATTAAGACAAGAATCAATCATATTAAAAGGATCTTACAGTTACAAAGCTACTTTTTCTGCTAAATGCAGCAATTGCTGATCGCATATTCGTAACACGAACGTCAAGGGATCTCAGTAAGCCACATTTAGCGCTAAATACGCGAGGCAAATGCGGGCAGTCGTACTGGTACATTCGCGGCTCTTTGTATCCGGTGACGCCGATATCACGCATAAACCGACCGCGGCCGCGGCCTTTGATATCCAAATCCTGCCGCTTCTAGGCTAATAACGATTTCCGCCTTCGCGGTTATCCACCCGCCGCCTCGACCCCGCCGATGGCTGAACAGCCATCCATTCGACCTCATCCACCTCCTCTCTGTCGACCTCTCTCTCTCCTCACCGCCTGTATACGTCTATTGTAATTTCCGCCACTCTCCGTCTAACCCTCTCGCCCTTTATTCTCCGTTCGCTCGAACGGCTTCCTGCAAATAACTCACCGCCATTCGCACCGCGGAGACGGTATCAGCAGGACGATTTCTATCACTGTCGGGTTTTCCTTGCCTCTTCCCCTCTCGAGCGAATCTCCGGATATCGAATTCTTACGCGCCGGCGCCCGCAGCGGCACAATAATGAATAAAGCATCATCGTGTACCGGTAACTACGACTGCGACTGTGAGTACGACGACGACGACGACGACGACGACGACGACGACGAGTCGTGAAACGTGCATTTTTGCCGCGAGACGTCTCGTAAGACATTTTCTAAGGGACTTCTCGTTTATACCCGTTCACTCGCGCGAGCGATATTACCCACGACGTTTCCCACTTATACATATGTATTCCGCGCGCATGCCGTAAAGATGGAAATACACTTTAACGCATTATTCACTGCACGCGTGCCTCTTTTTACGTTTGCGCGAATAACCTGCACGATCAATTCACAGATCCATATCTGCGATGGAACAAATTGGTTTTTGAAATGAAAAACTTTAGTCGCATCAAGAGAGAGAGAGAGAGGGAGAGAGAGAGAAAGAAATATATATTATTTTTAAATTGTAAATGTATTATTTTTAATAAACAGAATGTAATAGAAATTCTACTAAGATTCTAATAAAAAGATATGCGAATGAAACCTTGTTTTCTTTCTTCGCACTTTACATTTTCATTACATTTGATTCTTATCGATAAAATCTCAAAAATTAGGCTTCAAATTTCTGATACTAAAACTCGTATTAAATGACTGAGATTGTTCCGCGCAATGCACGATAGTTATAAATTTTTTCAAACTTTACGTAAAATAAGCCATTATATACATTTTATCAACGCGATAATGACAATAGATATGTACCTATATCGTGCTTACGTTCGCATTTCACGCGATATTTGCGTGCCTGATTCAACTATCACAAGGATTCTGCAAAAGACACTGAGCACTGGGGAATTTTCCTGTACCATCAACGAACTACGCGACGTGCAACAATACTCTCGAGACGTTGCACTTCAAAGTTTCAGCAAAAAGTTCGGTCTCTTTACTTTCGCGTGTATTCTTTTCCACCAATTATCCCTGTTTCTATTATTCTTAGTCATTGTCGTAGTTACAATCAAACTTAGAAACTAGTGCTTTTAATAAAAAGTGAATGTAAAGAATCGTACGACTTTATAGTAGCTATCTTAATAAGACTGTCAAGATTTAATTTGAAGCGTAAAATAAAGCGTATAAGCCTCGCACGGCTTTCTGCCGCACGTGCAAACCTTTCAATCCTATCCGCGGTACGCACTGACGGATTGAATTAACTGCAAGTATAGTACGCTGTCGTGGCGATAAATTATTATTTAACACGCATAAACGAGGTCAGAGATAAATCTGTGGACGCGCGTATATAAATCACCTACTATCACTCACCCCCGATATACTGCGTTGCTAATTGCGAAACACACGAGAGAGGAACGGCGTTGGAGAGAAAAAAAAACGCAGCGTTCGCACTATACTAGCGTATTTGATCCCACGGACAGAAAATTCAACGTCAGAACTGAGAAAAATTACAGAGGATTACGATACGCATCACACCGTTTATACGGTACCTCTTCAATAGAATTGAAGTCACTAATGGCAAAAATATGACGAAATATATTGTACTTACAAAATACATTATATATCTATAATTAGATGATTAATTGTATTGTTAGGCGACTCGGATCGAAGATCAAGCACTGAAATTCCAGGGTAAAGGATCATCGGGCTAGTTCATTCGTGTAATCCGCCATTATGTCGCGACGAATCGCTTGGACTTTCTACATAGAATTTCTAGGATGACGGCACGGAACTCGTTAAAGTGGTTATACCTTCTTGTATATAGCAAAGTGCAGATAACGACGTACGCAGAACGGCCTCTCTGCCTCGCAACGAGGTCAGTGCTCAGGCAAACGTTGGTCTGTGGTAAAAAAAAAAAAAAGAAAAAATAGAAGAAAAAAGAAACGTCTCCGGAAGGAAGAAGGGTTGAATCTCTTGCATGAAAATCGGAGCTGACTGAGGGAACGGCCGACTTTTCGTCCTCTTATTCTCTTTCGTTTCCGGCGTCGCTCGTCCGCTTTACTCGCCCGCGCGTATTTGCGCCACCATACTTTCTTTTATCATTTAATTAAACAACCGATTACACACGAAATACGCCAAGTCCGACGACGGGGAAAGCCCAGCTCTCGAGAAATCCCCGTTTTCAGCCGCGGCACTTCGCGCATTATCCCTGTTCCTTGAATACGTTTGTTGAAAGTACGGACTATTTAATTTTCGTCGTATATATTAAGGCGCAACGATATTCATTAAAGTGTAACTGATGTACCGATTAGAGACGATTGTGAGATTTATGATGTATCTATTAATGGAGTATTATTTTTTACCTAAAAAAGTTCAAGTATATAAAAAAATGTTAAATTAGTTCTAATTGAATGACGCACAATTGTATCCGAAGATTGATTCAACTAGATGGTTGGATCAGACGAAGACGTTCAAGATTTAACTCAGTTTAGATATTTCAGAGATGGATTAGCGTTCGCAATTATCCGACATCCCGCGCTGCCTTCTGTCTCTTACTCCACGCCAGTTATTTTGATCTTGTAATTGGAATCCAAGAAGGCGGAAGGCGCGCGCGGCAAAGATCGAGAAAATAAACAACTTTGGCTCTAAGAGGAATTTGTACGATGTCAGATGCACTCACGGCTTATAGAGCTTAAAAATGGCGTACCTCTATTTCATATCCGCAGCCGCGTTTTGGCGGCGATATAGTCGCGCGCGCGCGCAAGAGAGAGAGAAAGAGAAACGAGTAAATTAAGCGGAGTAAATGAAGGATTAAAAAAGAAACGCAATCCGAGTTGGCGTATTAACGTTAAATAAGTACTACAATGACATACGATTTTTTATACATGTAGAAACGTCTGTTAATCTAAGTCCAAGAATCTCAAATAAAATTACAACTACTGAGATTCTTTCAACAACTTTATATAAATCTCTCTCTGAATTCTTTCTCGTTTAGAATAAAAGATTTAATTCCGGCTTAGAAGAATAAAAGATGTAACAGCAAGAATTAAAATAACCGTGAAAATTAGCCATTCGCATGCAGGCTGAACGATTAATTCAGACAGACAGAAAGTCCCTCCTCGAGAAAGGACAAAATCATACTGAAGTAAATCTCTTTATTTTCAGATGATAGTTTCTTCCTACAAAGAGTTATGAAGATTTTTATTATGCGAAAATCTATCAATGAGGTGCTAACTTTATACAGATATCAAAATTCAATTACACGGTTCGATTTCGTCAAACCGCTTTGATCATGCAGAATCCTATGCGAGCGGTAAAAGAATGTTTCACCTTCGTTATTATCTCATACACGCGTGGAAATGACTCTTTTTCACAAAGCGCTCACGGACTTTGCGCCAACGTTCAGAATCACTTTGTAACAGGCGGCCTTGTTATTTTCCTTTCTGCGGAGCTGCAACCGTTACAGAACAGTTTTGCCATGTACTCGGGCGCAACGGAAGACAGAAGACACGAGACAAGACAAACGCGCGAGAGAGGAAGCCTTCTGAAAAGTTTCCGCCGCGTGTTCGCCCCGCCGCCGCCGCGCCGCCGTCGTTCGCCGCTCCGCAAATATCAAATGATCACCGTTATATCATTCCTGCCTCTCTCCGTTTTACGCCGCGCGCGGTCGCTCCCCAGGATCGATATTATCTCCACCATTACCCTCCGCCTTGCTCACGTAGTTATCTTTCGTCGCTTAATTGCAAGGGCAGAATAGGGAAATGCGACAAAGAGAGGGACTCGAAGGGTGGAAGTGGTGCGGCGAAGTTTCTCTCGAATGTAAATGTAGATGCACTGCAGTCATCGACAGTTGCGCGATGGAAATCGTGACAAATTAAAGCGAGCGGGGACTGACTAACTGAATATTCTCTTTCGTGTCTGTATCACAGACAGAATCCTGATCCAGAGAAGGACGCGGCGAATCGGAAACGTACTTCGTTGACCCAAAGCTGGTACAAACTCACTTCACTTTAATCAAATTGTACTAAATACGGGACGTGTTATAGAGTCTCCCGGCATCAAATCGTAATTATCGTTACGTGAAAACTATATCATGCTGTTAATACGGCGTACAACCGTTCGTCGCGCCGCACCGCGTTATATCTCGTAATGCAAAACACGAGATATTTGCTGTTGGGGAGTCCGTGATATTTAGAATCCGCGTTGTAAAAGGTCACGTGCGAGTGCCTTAACTTCGCTCCCCTCGTAACCCGATTATGTCACCTCGAATAATTTCGCCACGTCCATGTCCGAGCTCTCACGTGTCTGATAAAGCGCGATAAACCCTGAAAACGGAGCAGTCCGGCCGTTTCTTGCCGCTTACATTGCGCCTTACAGCCAATCATGAATCACTCGCTTTTACTTTCGGTAACTTACGTGAACCCGTAACGGGGCGCGTGAATTACTTTACTGGCGTGGATTGCATTAATTTAATGATGTAAAGCCAAATTTTTTGGTAAACTATAATGTGGGTAATATTTTTATATGCATACACAGAGTCGCGTATTATTAAAATTAATACTGACATGCAGGTATTTTTATATTGATAATCGTTTCGCATGCTCTCACGAAGTAAAGCGTTCGATCTTTTAAAGAAAGATCTACCGAGCAGTTTTTCGCTTGGAGATAATCTTCGCATGGCGCGCGAGTATCGATAGTGCAATTATGGAAATCCTTTTGCACACGCAAATGTGCACGCTCGCGCCAGTCGAGGTAACTGTTTTAACAGCAATGTGCGGATGCATGTACTGTAGAATAATGTAGATAACAGATTGGTAAAAGCGAACGTGAATTCAATCGTCGATTTTGTGTCCCATGTAAATTCATTGGATTACTATGCATATACACCACGTATGAATGTGATTATGAGCGAACGAGATGGTAAAATTGCAATTTGCACGATATACGTCTGATGCTTCACATGCGATGAGACTCAGGGAGAGAAGCACGTTTCATTTGTTATTTGCGTTCAAGCAAGTTTTGAAAAACTTGGATAATTTTCACGATAAAATATGGAGGACTGTTTAAAAAGTACAGGCAAAAGTTCGAAAGCAACCAAGTTGTCATTGGTTTTTCAAGAAAAATTTCTAGCTATATTTTTAATACAGTCTACATACACGGAAAGAACGATTTTGTTGAAAGATCTAAAAATTTTGCTAAAAACAGATCTGAAAATAATTTTTTGTTGAATCATCAAAATAATTTGTTGGATTGTTAAATCTGATAAACATTGGAAACTTCTCCCGTTCCTCTTTAAAACGTTTTGATATTCTAGCAATTACTTTGACTTTCGCACAAAATTATTTTGATTATTAAACAAAAATTATTTTTTGATCCGGATTCAGCAAAATTGTTCTTTCCGTGTTCCGTGTACAACAACATTTCTGTTTTGTCCTTTATAATTATACGTATAATATAAATATAATATAGTAATATTAGTAATATTGTATATGTATATAAAACAATATCGTGTTATTACATGACGTGTTAAACGTTGCATCAGTCATTCGAAGGTTAATTTCATCAAACATCAAGGCGCCATTAAAGCCAGGGCGTGTCAA